TGGTCTGGGCCTGAGTCTTCATCAAACTGCACCCCTTGCAATTCTATATTCCTGACCAGTCTCCTCTGAGTGCTCCTGCATTGATTGAGGGGCAGATCGGCTGCCCTTGCTGTGCCCCAGCGGGTGCATCTCCCCCACTGCCTGTGCTCCAAACGCTTCCCATGGGATGGGCTATGCTCTGGTCTCTTGCAGTGACTCACCAGCCTCTGAATGGCTCCTTTTTTTCAGTTGTTGTGGCTCCTTGGTCCTGTGTTGTTCCATGAGATCTCTGTTGGTGGTACTGCTGGCTTGGGGGCCACCAAGGCCCTCTTCTCCCCTGCCACCTCCATGCAACTTCATCCGAAAGGCACAGCTGCACCTTTTTGCCGGCTCCTGCTCTGTGCCTTCAGCAGCTCCAGCCTTAAAGTGGCAGCGGCATGAAACGGTTGGAGCAGTTTTTTCTTTCTCTCATTGTGGCTTCTCCTACCTTCATGCACTCCGTAGGTCTCTCCTCTTCCCCTGAGCTCTAGCGGCCCCAGCTTGACTGTTGTTGCTTTCTAATAGTTGTAAATTGGTTGATTTGTGGGAGAGAGTGACACTGGGGACCATCTATTCTACCATCTTGACCAGAAGCCTCATTCAATTTGTTTTTTTGGTTTTTTGGGTTTTTTGCAGCTGGCTGATACGGGGATCTCCCATGACCTTGATGTTATAAGGCTGCACTCTAACCAACTTAGCTAATTGGCCAGCACCCAATTTGTTCTTTAAATTATTCCTTAGGTTTCATTGGGCAGATTTTTGTTGTTATTTGTTTGTTTGAAATAATGGTCAACCTATATTTGGTGTTCACACTGAGTACCAGTAAGTTTCAGGGTATTGTAAGCCGTGTGTTTGTTTTTAAAATAATTTTAGACTTACAGAGAAGTCACAGGAATAGTACAGGGAAGTCTCATATACCCTTCACCCATGTTCCCCAAGTGTTAGCATTTTATAGCATTTACAGTTTTTCTGAAACAGTTGAGAGTAAGTTGCAGGTAGATGCCTCTTTACTTCTAAATACTTCAACATGGGGCCGGCCTGGTGGCGCACTGCTACAGTGCGCCGCTTGGGAGCGCGGAGGCACTCCCGCCGAGGGTTCGGATCCCAAATACAGACCGGTTCCTGCTCACTGGCTGAGCGAGGTGTGGGCGCAGCACCGAGGGTTGCGATCCCGTTGACGGTCCTGGCCCGGTACGGGCGCGACACTGAGGGTTGCGATCCGTTGCCGGACACGAAAAAAGACAAAAAGGAAAAAATAAATAAATAAATAAATAAATACTTCAACATGTATTTCCCAGAAAACAAGGACATTCCCTTATATAATCTTAGTAATATTATCAAAATCAGGAAATTTAACATTGACGTATCTCATCTAACTACAGGTCTTATTCATATATTGCCAATTATTCCATTAATGTCTTTAGAACAAAATGAAAAAAAAAATGTTTTTCCTGTTCCAGTATTCAATCCAGAACCAAATGTTGCATTAAATTATTGTAGCTTTAGTCTACTTTAATCTGGAACAGTGCCTCAGACTTTACTTGTTATTCATGACTTTGATGTTTTTTTAAGAGAAAGGGCCAGTTCTTTTGCATATGTCCCTCCCTCAGTTTGGATTTGTCTGATGTTTCTCGTGATTAGATTTAAGTTAATGCATTTTGGGCAGGAATATGAAAGAAGTAATGATGTATTATCTGCATCATACAGGGAGGTTTATGATGTTGATTTGTACAGTTATTGGTGATGTTACTTTTAATCATGTGGTTAAGGTGTCTGCAGCCTTATGCTTTCCCAGTTCCTTACCAAAGAGAATGCTGGTTTAGTAACCATTATATTAATGAATATATAAAGTAAGCAAAATGTATGTTTCCCAAACCAACTTCTGAGTAATTCTTTCTTCCTAAAATAAGTCATTGTATGTTGTTGTCGACCTAAACTATGAAATACTATTGATTCTGTACTTGGCTGTTGGAGTGCAACAAGATGCCAAACGGGTGAACCAAGTGTTTTCTCAAATGAACTGTGTCTTCAGGGATATTAAGATATGTCTATATTTAGCTTAAACTGTGAACTCTCACAAAACTGATACTAGTGAATTTTATGTTTTTTAAAATTTGGTTATTCAAGCATATTAGCAACATATGTTATAAGCCCTCCGTACTGTACATCCTCTTTCTTATGCATGCATAATTTCAGTCACCAGATCAACAATTTTATTTAAAATCTCCACTTGATATATATATATATATATATTTTTTTTTTTTTTTTTTTTTTTTTTTTAAAGATGACCGGTAAGGGGATCTCAACCCTTGGCTTGGTGTTGTCAGCACCACGCTCAGCCAGTGAGCAAACCGGCCATCCCTATATAGGATCCGAACCCGGGGCCTTGGTGTTATCAGCACCGCACTCTACCGAGTGAGCCACGGGCCGGCCCTCCACTTGATATATTTTATGCCAGGTTTTTGAGATAAAGGAAATCTACATCTATGATGCTCTTCTTCAGTCACTGAGCATCTTTCTGTGGTTTAATAAATGATTTATTTGAGTTATAATCCTGAATTCTTTAATTTATATGTAAACGTTTTCTATTTTCTTAAAAAGTTACTCATGCTTAGTGCTGTCTGGTGAGACTTTGTTTTTTTGTTTTATTAACTGATCCTTATTCCTCACAGACCTCAGGAGCTCCCTAAAGAATTAGTTGTTAGTAATTGTTACCATTTTTTTATTCATACATTATATCGGGGAGCAAATATATTACCTATCATTAATTTTAAGAGTCTCTAACCACTAACAAGCCAGATTATGTATCTCAGTTCACCTACACCATAGTACCTAACATAACTAGCATACTGAGGAAAGTAATGTCAATCTATAATCAGCTCTTTTCCCCTAAGGTCCTACCCCCCAAAATAAAATAAAACAAAAAGTAGGCATGCTTGCTGTCTGCTCTCTTTTTTTATCTGTATACATTTATGGAGAAATCAAGAAAGTTAAGGAAATATGTAATTTGCTTTAAAAGAATACAGCTCATACATGCTCAGATGATAAAACAAAACAACAAACAAAAAATCACTAAATCTTATTTTTTGATCAATTTAAAGTTTTTGTATTCTACAAGTGGGATAATTAATTAAACAAGCAGTTTTTACTAAGCAAACAATACATGAATAGTGACTCTTGCGTGGATGAGTAACTTTCAAAAATTTAGCTTCTACTATTTCACCAATAATTGTAATGGCAAAGATAGACAGTTAATGGAGATTTCTGATTATGTTTCTATTATTACAGCTATTGTACAAGGAGATACGCTAGAAGACATTTACAACCAAGTGAAGCAAATCATAGAAGAACAGTCTGGTCCTTACATCTGGGTTCCAGCAAAAGAAAAATTATGAAGACTGATGTTCTTCTATTTCTCTTTTTCACAATCCCATTTTCATTGATCCTTCTTTGCCCTTTCCTTCTGGAGTCTGTTTTCAATACTCCTTTCATGTTGAATCATATCCCACTCATCATGGTCCGCAGCTGCGCTTATTTTTGACATCTAGTGTCTCCTTCAAGTTGCATCATCTGTATTATGTCACTATTGGTTCGTGGCCATTTTTCAGAATTGAAGACAGAATGGCCCCACCAGCTATTAAGGGTTTGGGGAAATGCGGAAATTGTGGTAAAATTCCTTAATGTTTAAGGGAAAGTAACTTTAAGAGATTTTCAGAAAAGCTTTATATACATTCTTTTCAAATTTTAATACAAATGAAAGAAAAGTGGTTTTAATCAGTGATTTAGTAGACTGAGCAACTATGCACGCTTAACTTTAATAGCATGGTTTGGCCATTATATTAGCTCTCAAGTCCTTTTCTCAATTGACTTCTGTTATCAAAGCAATTATTTCATTATAGACAAATAAGGAAAATATGTTTTTTTAATTTTGAAATTAATGTCTGAGTTAGCTTTCATAATTTCACAAAGGATATTCATTTTTCATAACAGTTCTTCTAAAAGTCTTCTGTTATTTGAGGGTTTTTTCCCCCCAGTACATTTGCTAGGAATAACAATGTTCAAATGTTTATAATCTACTTGTGCAACACTATTCGTAGTGTCTTTAAATAGTTTTTCGTACATAATGATCATCACATTTTCTGAATTGAGACCATGTTTAGGTGCTAGGGGAGCTTGCCTTTTACACAGAAGGTTGAGAAAATTTCATGGACACAAATACAAAACAGACATTACAGTGGTGATGTAGTAATTATTATGGCAATGGAAAAAGAGTCCAATTCATAGCCTAAAACTTTAAATGTATTCTTAGGGGTCAGATTTTAATGAATATTTTACCCACAATAACTGCCTATTTTGTTATAATAAAATATACATATATAAATATATATAAAACTTTCTTTAACTGAACTCTGTAACTATGGAAATTATTTTCTTTACATAGTTGCATACACACACAAACATATATATATATATTTAAAATATATTTTTTTCTTTTGCCACCTACTCCTAACTTTTTATTTGGTTTTTAAATTAAATATTAATTGATTAGACTTACTTTCCTTAATCATGTGAACTGCAAACGGGGTATATGGCGGTTGTGAGGAGAAACCTTTAGGGAAATTAGGTTACAAGAAAAAGTATGGGCATGTTCTCCTCTTTTCTACAGAAGTTTTCAAATGTTTCCTGGTTTTTTCATCATCGTTGTTCTTGTTATTGGGTTTGATTTTGGTCCTCTGCCTTTCCTTCTCCCAGTTCTCCTTTCTTTAATAGACAGGCAAAAGCCCCATTTATGTGTAAGTTTTCCCCTGAGATACCTTTCGTCCACTGCTCTGCACTAAAGTTGCAAAGATCTTCATGGTGAGCAATTTTAAGAAATTTTAATGAAAGGTAGAAATGACTTCAGAAATCACTTTCTCTGGTCCTTTATATTAATAATATTATTTGGCTTCCCATTGCTCTTTGGAGTTGTTTATTAAATATGTTAATGAAAGGTAGAAATGACTTCAGAAATCACTTTCTCTGGTCCTTTATATTAATAATATTGTTTGGCTTCCCATTGCTCTTTGGAGTTGTTTATTAAATATATGTTTTTGACAACCTCCTCATTACAGTTTCTTAAACAAATAAGTACTGGTTTGTAAAGAATTATCAACATTATCCATTCCACTTATGAGAAAGAGGAGAACAGCTAATAAACTTTATTGTAAAATCCATATGTTAAATGTGTCTTGAATTTTGAAAGAAAATATTTTACAGTCTAACATTTTCTTAGAACAATTAGGGACATCACAAAATTTATAAACTGAATTTGAGAGCCATTAGACAAACTAATCAAAATTTCTTCTGTGGGTTTTGGAACTAAATATGTTAATATATTCGTTTGTTTTGCTTATAACAAAATACACAGAACTGGGTAATTTATAAGAAAACGAAATTTATTGCTTACAGGTTCAGAGGTTATAAAGTCCAAAATTCAGGGAACACATCTGGTAAATCTTTGGTGGTGGCTTTACAGCAGTGCCAGGGGTCTCACGTGGCAGAAAATGGCAGAGCAGAGAGAGCAAGAGAGACTAATTTCCTCATTCACTCTCCTTTTAAGGCCCTCAGAACCATGACCCTGACCACTGTTATTAATCCATTCACTATGGCATGGGCTTACGATCTAATCACCTTTCAGTTAGAATCATGATAGGACTTCCCACCCTGAACAGTTGCAGTGTGGATGTAAGCTTCAATTGTTGAGGTGGGGGGTGGGGGGACATCCAATCTACAGCACCTTGTTAAGTAATTTTTTAAGAGTAATAAGGAATATTTCCCAACATTTCTTATATAAATTCACATTTTAGACTCTTGTTTTGTTTTGTTTTGTTTTGTTTTGTTTTGTTTTGTTTTGTTTTGTTTAGGCTCCTCTTTGGAGTAACACAGGCTCTTCACTGTTTTCCCAAGTTGCAAAAATTCTCTCTCCATCTTTTGCCCTGTATTCCTCTATTCAATGTTGACTGCCACAATTAGATGAAAAGCATGGGGATTTTTTTTTCTTGCATCTGTAGTGGAATATTACTTAATATTTTATAAATATTACTTAATATTTTATAAAAGAAAGAGGACGAGGAGTTAAATGTTTCTAGTGTCGCTATAACTACAAGGCTTAAGTGAAACCACTTGCCCAAGATAACTTTAGTAAGTGGCAGTACTTGGTGTTTGGATCCAAGTCTCTCTGCCCTGAGTCTACATTCTTTCCAATACACTATGTTGCCTCCACTTTTCAGCCCCTACTGTGTATAAGGCACTATGACTTCAAGGGGTACCAAAATAATTTACAGATAAAAAGACTTAGATGAAGATCCTTACCCAGAGTCACACAATTAGTAAGAATCCATAGAGCTCCCATCACAGCTGAAAAGATTATTTCTGGGAAGCAAATCAGCCTAGCACTGTCACAGTGACATATACAGAATGAACTTCTTTAGAACCAAAACTGGACCAGTATCCATTAGAAAAAAATTTTACTATTCTAGTGCACAGGGAATAATACACAGTTTTAAGTGTTTCATGAAATATTCCATAATTTTATATGTCCCCAGTATCCGTTAGTTTGGAAAAAGAAAAATGCCTCTTAAATGTGGCTACACATTTCTGGTTGGTTTCCTGTTCCCTAACTGCCTAAGACTCTTCAGTAAATGATGGAAACAAGCTTGCAGAGCTCATTCCAGCAAAATACACTCCAGTTAACAAATACTGCTAGGGCCGGCCCGGTGGCGCACTGCTCGGGTGCGCCACTTGGGAGCGCGGCGGCGTTTCCGCCGAGGGTTCGGATCCCACATACAGTCCGGCTGCTCACTGGCTGAGCGAGGTGGGGGCGCAA